TTTCACGGTCTTGACCGTCGACTACTCCTTGTCCCCCGGATGCCCCCCCATTGCCCCCGCCGCTCCGGCTCGCACCGGACGCGACGAGGGCGAGCTCCGCCTCGCGCCTCTGCTCCTTGCTCCTCTCGCGCTCCATCTCCATGTGGGCGTCCCTCACCACAGTCTAACGGGCATGCAAAGTCATGACATCGCTTGCTAGCAATATTCCTTTTTGCACGACATACGATGGGGGAAGGCCGCGCACAACGTCCTTGTTAGCATGTGCTGTGTCTTTGATAGTTCCTACTGAGGCAAGACGTAATCGAAGAGCGTCCGGCCTTGCTATGTAATCCTGTGGTTTCTCCGACTCACGCATTTCTAACGCCAACCACTCTTGCTCAAGCCTAGTCTTCTCAGACTCCTTCTTCTCTTGGTAGAAATTCTTGACGATCTTCCACCCCTGCTAGGGACTCTCACATGCCATGATGAAGTTCTGGATCGGAGGGTATAGAATCTTGCTGATGATAATATTCCACACCTCCAACGACTTGTCCACCACATCAGTCCCGAAGATGCCCCATAGGTAGGTCTGCTAGATCCACACCCCTCTTGCCAACCTTGACATCAGTCATCCCTAATACATCATGTACACCCTCCTCCTGAAAAANATCGGAGGGTATAGAATCTTGCTGATGATAATATTCCACACCTCCAACGACTTGTCCACCACATCAGTCCCGAAGATGCCCCATAGGTAGGTCTGCTAGATCCACACCCCTCTTGCCAACCTTGACATCAGTCATCCCTAATACATCATATACACCCTCCTCCTGAAAAAACGACACCATCTTACTGCGAAAAACATCAAACATGATGTACAAATCCTGCTCTTTCTTCACACTTCCAAGCCAAGGGTCTATCTCAGAGCCGGGGTTGACACAAAACGTGCCTTTTCGTGGGCAAAGCCCTGATGTCCAGACATGGCCTCGGCAGTCGCCTTGACCGCTTGCGCCACGATGTTGGCGACGTTGGTGGGATTGTTGAAGGATTGGGATCCCTGGCTGGAGGGTGAAGGCTGGTTGCCGGTGGGCGGTATGTCGGCTGGTGTGGGATGGGGCGACTGCTCGCCGCTGGTGGGTGACTGCTGTTCTGCTGGCAGTGGGGCGATTTCTGCTCTCTCCTTCGCGAGTTGGGCGTCCACCCTTCGTTGGACTTCTTGCTGCAGCTCTTCTTTGCTGAGGGTGGAGAGGTCGATTTCGGAATCCTCCGAGGTAGGCATGATGTTTTTGTTGTGGGAGTCTACCGATTGCGCGTGAATGCACAACCCCCCGGTATACTACGACCGCGCGCAGAATCTGAATCTGATTCTAACTAGTGTGAAAGATAAACTGCGCGGGGTGCAGCAAGCCCGTGTTGGGCGTCTCTTGGGGCAGTGGGTAGTCGGCCGTGTTAGGCCGAGAGAGGGAGGTAGAGATAGAGATGGCGTTGGCGTTGGAGAAAGCGTTGGAGAAGGAAACTTGATTGGAGAGAGACAGCGGTAGCGGTGGAGAGAGAGAAAGCAGTGCGCTACATGCGCGAGCCTTCAACACCGCAACCAAGGCCAAAAGGGTCCCCGTATTTGTCCCCGTATCTGCATCGGCGGTACCCATCAACATACGAAATTCCCAACACGTATCCCCCAGGATCCTCACGTCTAGCGACTGCTGCGAGTATATCTAACAACATCTGCTATGCACATGTCCGAGCTTCTGGCATTTTCCTCCTCCCTACGTCCTCTAAACTCTTTCCAAGCTATGTGGGTGCATCCACGGTGAATCTGCGCCACGCCCAAGCCCTTGCCCCGCCCTCCTCCTCATTCTACCGTATCGCCTGCGTGGGCTCGCAGAGCTACTGACTACCCAGATCCACCGCTCGCCGCCTCCTTGCTACTCGATACCTCACTTCGAGCAGTCTCATTGCACCCATCAAGGCTATCCCTCACCCTTCTCCCACCATCCAACTCGCGTCTATCATAGGTCCTGCCCAGAATGATTCATTGCTTCCTAACTCGCGCCATTGTTGACTCGCCCATGCCTCCGTTGCGTCGTTACTCGTCGAAGCAAGTCCTTCCCTAAAACACGTTTCATGTCATAACATCGGGCGTCAGTCCGAGATCACCGCTACAATACACCGATCGCTTACCTCTCAACCCAGTGCCTCTTGTTCGCCCCCTGCTGACCTGGATGGCATCGCCCCTCACCGGAATTACTCCTTTGCCGACCCTTCGCCCGGCATTGCATCTCCTGCCCATCCGATCTCCCGGCTAGACCGATTCCGTACCTCCTCACTCACTCACTTTCCCTATCATTTCACTTGATTGGTGCCGCCGACCACTCAAATCACCATCTCGTATTCATCCGAGATCCTGGCTACACCGATTTTTTCTCCAGTCCCACGCCACGTATTCACTCAACGGTATTGTTCCTCGCCAAATGATCGCCTTCCGAGGCCCGTTTCCCATCAAGTCATCTCGCGTCCAGCCAAGACTTGGCAAGACCCGTGGCTTGCCTCTCGTTGCATGCCACGTGCAATCACTTTCGCCTTCGTGGCAACTCTTCTTGGAAACCGCTTCCCAGACCCTTGTCCGTCTACCCTTTCGCCGGCCGATGCGAACTACTGGCCAAACTGATGACTTGCCTCCCCACTCACTCTTTTCCCTCATCCTATATCCTGGATGGCACCGTTGTGAAAACATTAGCAATCCCTCCCCCAACTCTTCTCCCGCATGCCGTGTTGCGTTTATCCGAGCTCCTGGATATTCGATTCCATGCCTCTAATCCCACGGCACACACGTTCAACAGCTCTA